GGCTGTGGTTTTGGGACTCTTTGTCCCCAGGAGCCATGAAGGTGCTTTCTCTGTGCTCAAGGACTGATCTGAAACACTCGGATCAGCTGGGGATCCTGCTCAGAAATTCCGTGCGTGGCTTTACTGCCCCCATGTTTCATGCTGCAGTTCTGTAGGCAGACTTCAGCCCCAACAGTTCCTATCCTGGGCATCTGTCATACTGTTTCCATTTTGTACCAGTGTCCTTTTGCAAGTTACACGAATTCCCAGCTCTCTCTTCTTTTTGTTGGAAACGTATACCAGCGATGGCTCAGATTGCAAGACACTTTCCTCCCCCCTCCCAGGTTTATTGTACGTGTCATGTGCTCGGTGCTGGGCTTATTTGTGCGGCAAAGCGATCCCCAGCTTCGTGATGTCAACGTGAGGGTGTATATCGCCAACCACGTGACGCAATTCGACCACAACGTCATCAACCTTCTGACCTCATGTAATACGGTGAGTAGCTTGGAGCCGAATGTGGTGGGGCTGGAAGCCCCTCTCTCCAAGAGAGGTGAACGGAGAGCTCATTTAGAGTTTAGGTGTTGCCCTGAGCCTCTTCTGTTCCTATTTATTAACCCAGGATTGCACAAGGCTTGAGTTTTTTGCTGTGGTTCAGTGTCACGCTGTAGGCTGTGCATGAATAAATGAAACAGGGTGAGGAGGAACAGGAGATGTTATGGTGGTTATTGATTTTATTGGAAGACAGTGGGTAAATCTTTGTATCTTTTTCTGGCGTTTCAAACAGGTGGTGTCAGAAGCAGGGCTGGCTGTGGGGTTTGCCCACAGCTTGGGTTGCCGCTCTGGTGTGTGTGGGCAGCTGGCTGCAGGGCAGAGGAGTGCGAGGGGAGCTGCGTGGTGGGGCAGTGGTGCTCGGGTTATGGTTGTGTAACTTTCCCTGTGCTCTTGTGAAATTCCTTATGTGTGGAGTTCCTGAATCGACAGGCTCCGAACGTGCCTGGGGGTGAGCTGGCTGGTCCTGTATCCTGAACAGCAGTAGACTTGCTCCTGACCTGGAGTAAAGTAATTCTTGGAAGTAGCATGTCCTTTGCCAAGTGTGTCAGGAACTACTAGAGAGAACGTGGGGAAACGCGGCTGTCGCCCACGGCATGGGGGCAGACAGGGTGCAGTCTGAACTGAAGATCAGGAATCAAATTCCTAGGGAATCAGGGACAGAGCAGCTGCTGAAGCCTGGCAGTAATGTGCTCTCTGCCACTGGTGCTTTTAGCATGCAGGTTGCTCCCTCAGTCCCCAGAGGCATTTTTGGTCATAAGCAGGAGCTTTGTCACCTGGGAAAGCAGGCCTTGAGGGGAGGACAGGACAGCACTTCTTCCTTACTCCTGTCTTTCCTTGCAGCCTGCGTTGAATGGTGCCCCTGGCTTCATCTGCTGGTCACGGGGGTTCATGGAGCTGGGAGTAACGGGAAGCCGGGCAGAGCTGGTGGATTCCCTGAAGGTGTATTCATCCCACAGAGGAAACCCACCGCTGCTGCTGTTCCCAGAGGAGGCTGCCACCAATGGCCGGGCTGGCCTGCTCCGCTTCAGGTACTAGGAGTGGGTATTCCTGCGGCGGGGCTGCGGTCCCTTCGGGGTCATTCACTGCTGAATTCTTCCTTTCCAGCTCGTGGCCGTTCTCAGTCTTGGATGTGGTGCAGCCCGTTGCCCTACAGGTTCAGAGGCCTTTGATCACTGTGGTGAGTGAGGGACACGGGGCCAGGAGGAGTTGCGGAGGCGTACGCTGTGCCAGGGTCTTGGCCATGCCGTTGATTCTGCTGCTGCTTTGAAGCCTGTGGGCAGTGCCGCCTGGCCTTGTGTCCTGTCGCCCCCTGGAGCCGCTTCTCAGTGGTTTCCAAGCTCCTTTCTGCCCAGTCAATACCCTCTTGGTTACACTGGCAACTTTGATAAACGCGTCGGTGTCGCAGCTGTCCACCATTGTGCCATCGGCATCCATGACACTGTGTCTCATCTCCTCTTTGCGAGCTCCCTGCTTTCAAAGTGCTTGGGAAGAGCAGCTCCAGTCGCCCCGGAGAACGGCTGGTGTGCCCAGGTCAGGCGAGGCTCCGGCGTAGGGTGGAACTCGGGCCTCCCGAACGCAGACATGTCACGGTGATGCAAGAGTGGCTTCGGAAAAGCGACAAAGTTCATGATGATAACGCTTGTGCTGCTAAAGAGATTGCGACAAAACTGTTCTCGGCTTGTTTGCAGAGTGAGATTTTGTTGAATTTCTTATTTCTTGAAACGATTTATGGATCTGCTTGATTGACACGTACATTCTGCATTTGTCTGACGTTTGAGTTGATCCTTTAACGTCCATCTTTTTAAGGTAGCCGGGCACAGTGGACAGAGTTAAAGCCACGTAGCAGCAGGTCACAAAACATCACTGCCCAAACGCAAACAGCAGCGTGCGGGTATTCCGAGGTTCCGTTAGGGATTCGTTCTTTGCCCGGTGTCGTTTGGTGCTTTTATTGGCGCTGTGGGCATCGATCCTGAGATCCTTGCCGGTGAGTTCAGGTCAGTGAACAGCGAAGGAGCCGGATTATTGATTGTGATCCAGTGAACTGCCGAGAGCTGTTAGTAAGTCTGATGTGGTCTGTGGGTGCGTAACGAGGAATACCTGGCAGGGTGAGGAACGCAGCGTTAGCTGGATGTGTGCCGTGATGAAAACCTCCGAAATATCCTGCGCAGCTCTGGTAGCCTCGCTGTCAAGGAAGTGGGGCAGCAGCAGAGAGAGTTCAAGGATGCCGTGAGCATGATGCAGGGTCCAGAGAGCAACGCGTAAAGGCACTCAGCTTAATCAGCTTACCAGAGAAAAGGCAGAGGGATTCTTGCGCACAGCTGCTTGCACGCTGGAGGAGAGGCTTAAGAGCGGAGGATTCTTTTTTTATTTTTCTGGCAAAGCACGCAGCAGCGGTCCTTGCAGGTGCTGAGGCTAAACGTCGGTACTGCACGAGTTCAGTTCTGGATTAAGATGCAGTTTTCTGACAGTGAGGGTAATTGGAATTTTTGAATGACTGCTCTAGAGAGTGGGAGAGCTGTCCTCCTCCGGGCTGTTTATAATGAATATCTTCTCTTTTTCTGGTTCTGAATCCTGCGAGAAATTCTGTGAGATGTGACGAGTTGGGTGTTTGTGCCTTTCCCTTGGTGAACGTTCAGGAGAACAGCACGTGTGTAACTGCAGATCCGTTCGAAGGTGCTGGTTGGAGTCAGTTCTTGGCTCAGGTTTTTACCTTCAGAGGTCGAGCAGGACTCTGCCCTTCGTGCACATCGGTTAAGTAAATCCTGGTGAATTTCTTACGTAATTCTAAGCCGTCAGAAGCTTCCGAGGACTGGAGATGAGACACTTTGAATGGTTCCATCAGCTTTCTTAGACACGTATGTGATACACGTCAGACGCTGGGCTGAGCAAACCACCAAAACTGGGTTTAAGAAAGACTTTTCTCCAGCTGCAGCTGGCTCGCACCTTGAAGGAGGGTGCTGTGCTGGGGCACGGGGCAGCGTAACTGAAGCCTGGCTATTGGCATCGCCATAAGGCGTTTGATTTTAGCTTTCTTCCTTCTCTTTATCCAGGAGATGAGGCTTCTTTGTGTTACCCTTGGTGACTGTGGTTTCGAGGCTTTTCTCATTTATAGCACCTCTTTCCAGGCTGCGGCATAAACCAGGCACAAGGCCCTGTCTCAGGGCCACGCTGCTTTGGTCAAGGACCAGGTCAGGTGTGAAAGAAGCTGAGGCAGCTACCTTGCACGCTGCAGATCTTGAGATGGTGTTCTCACCAGCTTGTGGAAAGTTTAGTCACAGCAGGATAAAAGTAACCAACTGCAAAAATTCCAGGAACAACGTCCGTTCAACAGCAAATTCTTTACAATGGTTGAAAAGCGTAGGTTGTGGGGAGTCTCTGGAGGTCTTTAGTTCAGCTCTGTGCTCGCAGTCAGGCTGGTTTCTGAGTATGGCCTGGCTGTTGGGCTGTGTCCTGTTGGGAAGGACGGAGAGCCCACCACTTCAGAGTGCCTGCTGAGTGCTCTCTGCTGGCAGGCGTCGCAGTACTTCTTGGGGAAAAGGTTTACTTATTTTTAGAAACAGGAAGGAAGTAATAAATTACAGCTCACCGCTAACGATTTATCTGCAAAGTGAAGAGTTGTTTAAGGCTTCAGAGCGCAGCCACACTGCAGAGGCTGTTCCCATCAGAGTAAGGAAGGATCATTCCTGATTCTAAGGAAACATTAGTAGGCCTTGCAGCATCTTCAATCCTTTCTAAAGGCACAGTCTGGCAGAGAATGTGAGGATATTGAGGGGAACCCCTGCTGGGAGGAAAAGGTGACTTGGAGCAGTTAAAACTGACTCTCCTGCTCTGCCTGGTGAAGACTGAGGAAGGTGAATGTGCCCTGGTGCCAGCCCTCGCCGTGCGCTGCTTTGCCAGTCCTCTGCCTGCGTGCCTGTCGCTCGCGGCCGCGGCTCAGCTGTCTGCTGCCTTCCTGCCTCCCTGGTGGGAGACCTGACCAGCCCGTTCCGTGGGCCGCCGTCTCATTGTGCTCTCTTCCCCAGAGTGTGGCTGACTCCTCCTGGATCGCAGAGCTGCTCTGGACCTTCTTTGTTCCCTTCACAGTATATCAAGTAAGGTACTATCTCCCTCTCTTTCGTTTGGGGCAGGGTGTAGGGTGGGCAGAGAGCCTGACCTTTTGCCGTTGCAGTAGGAGATGTTTTGGTAGGCGCTAACGCGCGCCCCTGTGGTGGTATCTCAGCATGGCTTTGTTCAGCATTGTTTGGTCCCTGCCAGCTCCAGCTTCTGGACCAGCTGCTGAAGTGGAGGCGGCTCTTGGTTCTGGCGTTCAGTTGGTGATGGAGAGGAGTCTCTGGGGGCTTTTACATCCAGTTTGCTGGGTGTATTTTTGAAGCTAGCTGCCCTGCTGCAGTTCACCCCAGGGCTGCGCGTGTCCCCTGGGAGATTCCCTGCAGGCAGCCCAGCCCTCGAGCGTCTGTCTCTTCCCTGCAGTCCCCTGGGAAATGCAGAGGTGGCTCAGACACCTGTCCCGGGCCCAGGTGGGCTGAGCAGCTTTGGTGTAATACGGGTTCGTAGGCAGCGGAAGGGGCTTGGAGTCAAATTTAGGGCTCAGGCTATTTCGGCAAAGAGTCGTCTTGTGTTGTAGCTTTCCCCGGCTGTGTCTGGCCCGAGCCTTGCTGATCTGTTTTCTGCTTTCATGTAAATGGCAACGGCCCCTCGTTTGGGGCCTTTCTGGGAGCTTCACTAGGAGACACTTGGCATGTTACGCTTGAGTGCTAATAAAGATTCACTGAGCCAGTTTTGTCTCCTGAGCTGTGCCTTGCCCTTAATTTTGCCAGCTAGCATCGAGGTTTGGCGCTTGTCTTGTGGGGAGAGGTTTGGGGTGAGCAGGGAGAGCTGAGGTGGGGATAGCACCTTTGCACTGCTGATCCCAGATGGGACTGGCTCCTCCAGCAGCCCTTGAAGCAGTCAGCCCAGTGCTGTTGTCCCCATTCAGGTGGATGCCGTCTGTCCCCAGACGAGCTGAAGAACTGAGTGAGGATTTTGCGCTCCGAGTTCAGGAGGTAGGAGGATGACGTGGGAGAGGGATGTGTAGGACTCCTGCAATTTGGGATGGTCACAGAGGAGAGTGGGGTGCCAGCAGAGTTGCAGAGGGCGTTTCCGGATGGGTGTGTTTGTACGATGGGAACTCTGGCCCGTATTTATTGCCCCTTATAATTAATTCAGTTTTTCCATGGCCTATTTGCTACCCCCCAGTTATCAAGGCTCTCCCCATCTGGTTCAAACCTTTCACTCCCTTTTCATAATACCACGAATCAAATAAAGCAATTGTTTCTCCAACTTCCCCTCATGTGCCAGGGACTTCATAGCTCCTGCACCAAAGCTCTTGTATCTGCCTGTCAGCCTGTCTTGGCAGGATGATATTGCCTATCCTGGTCCTTCAAGTGCTCCGTGCAACACTGAAATGCACCACTGTGGCCCTGGAGAAATCAGTTCCCAGTCCTCTTCCCCTCGCCACGGCTCCACACAGGCCTGTACATCCGATACATGCCCCTGCAGATGGGAATGCCGGGGTCATACGTGTTGTGTGTTGTGTACATGTGACTCTTCTCTACGTTTGTGCAGCTCTTGGCCATGGAGCTGGGTGTGGTATCCACACGGCTCACTGCAGCAGATAAAACTGAACACATGAAGAGGCTGAGACACACATCGCTTCTCCCCTTTGCCCCAGGTAGGTGTCCTGGCTACAGAACAGCCACTTGGGCTTTGCCTTTGGGGAGGTGTTAAAGGCAAAGGTCTCCTCTCCCTCCTCCCTCTTGGCATGGAGGGAGAGGAGAAGGCATGCTTGACATCCTCCTGGGGAGCAGGGGCCACCTGTGTGCTTTAGGCAGGGGGTTGCAGCTCGCTGGCAGGGAGAGTGCCACCACTCCTGAGCACAGACCTGATGGCTGTGTGCAGGAAGTGTGGCTTTCTTACCACACCAGTTCACACTAGGGAAAGCAGAGCTGTTGCAGCTCAAAGGCCATGCACCTTTAGGCCACCCTCTTGTGCCCGCTGTTCTTTCTCTTGCAGCCTCAAGCCAGCCCCTGGCAGCCAGGCCCAGGGTGCCTTCCAGCCCGACTGGAGTTGCTCCTGAGGACGTGCGGATCACAGCAATGGCTCAGCGGGTCAAGGAGGTGCTCCCTCATGTGCCTCTGGAGGTCATCAGGATAGACCTGGGTAAGAGAGGCCTGGGGTGTTAGCAGGGACGCAGCTCACCTTCCATGCCAAGTCTCTGTGAATACCTGAAAGCAGAAACCTTGTGCCTGCTGCACTGTGGAGCACATCAGCAAGGATGTGAGTGTCTTGAGGCAGTGGCTCCCTCTCTAACAGATCTTCTTTGTCCCTACAGCCCAAACCAACTGTGTGGATACCACCATTGCCAACTTGCTGGAGGGGAGAGTACCCTTCTTCCCTGAAAGTAAGGAGGCTGGTACTGACCTGCCTGCTCCATCTACCTCCCAGGCTGCAGCTGCTTCTGGCATCCAGGGCTCCATAGCTGTGCCTTCTTCCAAGGTACTTTTGGTGGTTGTGTTGTCTCCTCTGGTCTGATGGCTTGCAGCCAGAGCATGGTGGCCTGTGTTCAGGACTAGCTGTGATGTCAGGGGAGTGCAGCATTTTAAACCAGAGACCGAAGTGGCATGCTGGGTCCGTGCAGAGCCACTGAGGAGGTCTCCTGGCTTCGTCTGACTGTCTCCTGATGGCTCTTGTGCTTTCTGTTCCAGCCGGCTACAAAGCAATTCGCAAAGTCCCCTGTGGAGCGGCACCTGTCCTTGCAAGAGCGGAAGCGAGCGTTGTACGACTATGCCAGGAGGTGAGTCTACGCAGACCTCCCCCTGTCAGAGTCCCCAAAACCCCGTCCCCAAAACGCCTCTTGCTTCGCCTCGTGTCCTCCCAGTGCTCCCCTCTGGCCCAAGGCAGCGGGGCTGAGGCAGGGAACCATGGCTGAAGGAGAGAGGAGGCAGGTGCTTGTCTGCTTTGCCTCTTCCAAGCATGCAGCCCCTTGTCATTCCTAGGAGGCGCTCTGTCTCCTGAATTGACACTGGGCTTCTGGTTTTAGGGACTAGGTGGGATTCTAGCTGTTTGCCAGAAACACAGCTGCTGAGGAATGGAGCTTAGCAAAAAAAATCTCCTGTGGTTCTTCGGTGAAACAGATTTGATAGAAGTCATTGTGGGACTACAGATTTCTTTGGAATTAGTAAGGACGCTATGGAACAGTCATTTTGGAGAGAAGTTGGCTGTTTGGCAACAGGGACAGTGCAGTAAGTGGAGAACTGCAGAGAACAGGGGGCAAGTTTGACCTCTGTGCAGGGTTTTGACGGGGCAAATACTGGAACAAATGCCCCATTCTGGTGTCTGGGTCTGTTTTTAGAAAAGATACTGAAAATTCAGGATGAGTTTGGAGGGTAAGCCAAGTCTGTTCCACATGCTGTAAATGAGATGGCACACTATATATAACTCTGGGTGGAGGAACCAGGTTCGGAAAGGCTGTTTAATGTGGCAGAGAAAAGCAGAATAGTGACTCATGTGACAGACTTTACACAGGTAATGGGGTAGTTGTTTCTGAAAAGGAAATGGATTTGTCAGTGGAATAAGCTTCCAGCAGAAGTGGTGGCTTCTGGGTGTCTCCCGGAATGCCCGGCTGACTCCTTAGAAGATGCTCTAGAAGATGGTAGAGATGAGGGAGTGTTCGGCTCAGCCTGCGTGCTGCAAGGTCGGGGCTCCGCTCTGAGCGCAGGGTCTTGCTGTGGAGAGCGAGCCCCTCTGGTGCCACGCTCGGGCGCTGCACTGGGCTTTGCTCCAGAGCACGACAGCAGTTGGGACAAGATTGCAGAGGCTCAGGGATCAGTTAAACCTTTTGGATCCTGTGGCTTTTGGCAGCACATCAGCTTCTCCCTGCGGTTGAAAGTCTGGAAGTTCCATGGTTGACGGTTGAAGCCAGGCAAGCTCGGAAGTGCCCCTTTCTGAAGGGCAGGTGACTCTGGGTAGCCCTTAAGTCACCGAGAATTTAACAGGACTGTTTTTCTGAAAGATCATTTCAGTTCAGAGGAATTACATCTCGGAATAGTCCTGTGCCGTAGAGAATGTCAGACTCTGTCTTCAGAGTTGTCCCCAGACCTTTTAACCCAAGCACAGGGATGGCTCAGGGCTCTTGCTTGACCCACCAGGCACCACTGGTTCACCAGCAGAGGGAAGGAGGTGGAAGTCCTTTCCTTCTGACTTTGTTGCTCTTCCCCATCCGGATCTTTTATGTCCCTTTTCTGCGGCTCTTCTGACTGGTTCACCAGCAGAGGGAAGGAGGTGAAAGTCCTTTCTTCTGACTTTGTTGCTCTTCCCCATCCCGATCTTTTATGTCCCTTTTCTGCGGCTCTTCTGGCTGTAGAGCAGTGGTGTCTCTACTCCTCTGGGAGAAAGGGGTCCCGAGGAGATGTGGAAAGGTGACCATGCTCCTCATCTTTGCTCCAAGGAACTCCTCCGGGCTGCTGCCAGCGGTCTCCAGCAGGCTCTGGCAGCTCGG